TGCTAAACACTAAATATACATAGATATTATAATATCTATAATTGATTACCACAATCAATGCAGCAATATTTTCGCAATTTTTCCAACTGCAATATTCTCAATAATAACTTTAAAATGTAACAGATGGTAAAGCAGGGACTTTTCCCTCCTGAATCCTCTATACTTTCATTAGTTTTCAAGAGATCACATTCAATTATCTTCTAATATTTCTGTAAATACTGTAAAACAAGATTAAATATAGTATTCAAATTAAGTTGCATATGCAAATATTCTAGAACATTTAAATATCTTGAGTGGACTTATTGCATTAGGATCACTTTGATTTATTTTTGTGTTGCTTTGTATATTTTGTATGTATTTTTGCATGGTTTATGTGAATTATATTTAATGGCATTTTTATTACCTATTGTAATGCCACAAAATTATCCACCTAGAATTACTTTGGTTTAATTTTCATCCAATTATTCCACATGAATCACTAAAGTCAAGGAAGTTACAGAATATATAGAATTGATTTGTATTTGAAAAATCAAAATAAATATTTAAAGGCTACTTTGAATATTGAAAAATCTTTAGCAAATATTTATAAAGTTGTATATATACTGGGATACCCACTAATGGGTATAGCAATATATCTGTATACCAATATATTCTGTTCTTTCCTTAGTTGTATAGATAATGTCTATAATACATACAACATAAATTTTAAAATAAACTGCAAGATGAATTGAATATTCAGTAAAATGCAAATTTGTAATATATTATTATAATGATACATTTCTAAATGATGCCTATTTAAATGGATTTCCCTGAATTGTTCTCTTGCAGATAAACTTTTAAATTAAAAAGGACTTAAAATTTTAATTCTCATTATTATTCATAATAAAATCAAAATTCCATAAGATATTACTATTAAATTATTTTTTCATTAGTGTGTGTAACAGACGTTATTTTCTATTATTTAAAATTTTAAGATTATATACAGTTACAGTTATCAAGGTATATGAATGCAAATCATTTCATTTTAGTTTCATATTTTAGGAAATGCTTTGTCACATAGTAAATAAAAGTATACTCGAAGTATATGTTTATATAGTATCTTATTTGCTTTTATTTCAAAGGAAGAATGGATTTTCTGAATGTAAAATGTCTACCTTGGGTTGGGCTATATTTTTTGTTCTATATGCATTTAGCCTTTTCTATTAAAAACAGTATTTACATAATTGTGCAGTATATTTCAAATTTATAAAAAGTAAAATATTATATTCTAATATTGGATTATGATCATTGTTGCTATATATAATTTTAAGACATTCTCCAACATTGACTATTATGATATAACACTTTGGTATCAAAAAATGTTAAGTATTTTTTTGGATTGGTAAATGGTGCCTTTTTATGATTTCAAAACCTGTGTTTCATACACTGCCAATTTAAAGTGGTACTCTTTCAGCATTCTAAATTTGAATATGTATTAAATAAAATGGCTTTGCATGTAAGGTAATATAATTTTATCTTATAGATAATTAATGTCTTAAAAGAACATGAATTTTTTCCCCCAATAGTTCCACTCTATGTTTGTAATATATTTACATAAATTCAAAAGCAATTCTACATTTGGGGATTATAGATGTAACTATTGTCCAATAAAGATAAATCTAAAAATTCTAAGTAAACTATTTCCATGCAAATAGGTTTGGAGAATGATAACTAAAATTTGAAATAATTCCTACTTAATAATCAAAATCTTCAGATTCCACACTTTTTTCAAAGCTATGTTTTTAAAAAAATAATTTCTTTTGTTTTCTTTGTAATTGTTATTAATGCCACTGTATAAAATGATTTTTTCAGGGTATAAATGACAATCATATATTTTCCAAAATTTTATCCATATAATTTTACCCTTATTGGTAAATTTGTTATTTTATTTCATCTGTAATTTAATGAATACAATAACATCAACCACTGCCACTAGTCGATTACAACACCTATGACCCTGTAAGATGGGCACTTGGTTTCCAAGGTGGTGAATCTTCATGGGGGGAGATGGGCTCTTCTCTTTCCTAGCCTTGCAGTTAGCAGTTCGCAAACTACACCCCCAAATTTCCATTCAATTAATAGTGATGTATTACAGTGATTTTCTCTGTATCATAGGGATTCAGCAGTGAAGAGTCTATAAAAATCTCTACTTATGAGAGAGTATGAGAAGGAAAAAAAAGAGATAATATCTCTAAAGCATCATAATAATAACAATAATAATAATAAGCTCAAATCTACTGCCATAGAGTCAGCATCATGTCACAATGAGCCCTTATGTCAGTGGTTCTCATGAGTCGTGACCCCTTTGGGGGTCCAACGACCCTTTTACAGGGGTCGCTTGATTCATAACAATAGCAAAATAACAGTTATGAAGGAGCAACAAAATTAAGTTTATGGTTGGGGGTCACCACCACATGAGAAACAGTATTAAAGGGTCGCTACCATTAGGAAGGTTGAGAACCATGGCCTTCGGCTTCAGTAAAGTAGAATGGCTCTTCAGGGTTTCTGAGATTGCCTCGTGTTTTCTCTTGCAGGGTCGCTGGTGGGTTTGAACCACAGACCTTGCAATTAGCAGTCATGTTTAACCCACTGTGCCTCCAGGACTCATTGGGTAAAGAATAAGGACTAGTTAATAAGACATTGGCTTGAAATACTATTTAAGATTTTAAAATCTCATTTCTTGTGAATTCTGAACCTAATCACTACCTTAGATACATTTTAGCTTCCAAATTTGTTCTGAAAGTCTACTTAGTCTCAGGTTTTCAAGAGAATGTATTTTAGAATTGGTCTGTAGGTCTTGAGGTGATTATAAAAGCATTCTAAACCCATGCCTAAGCATTATCCCATAGCTGTTTGCCCTAATACCATATACATTTTTGGAATAATCATAATCATGTCAGAAATATTAATTTGAATTTGAATACAAATTCTGGTTGTTCCTACTTCCCTATTTAGCATTAATATTTATAGCTAAATAGTTTACTGTACTTTAAAACATGGAAAAAGTTTACTGTACTTGAAAACAAAGAAACTATGGAAAAATTAGAAATGCCAATTTTTGATCTTGCTTTTATACTTCCTCTAAAAAAATGCAGGCTTAATCAAATCACCCAGGAAAACACAATGGATTAAAAAATTCTATAGTAATGACATCCCGAATGTTTACCTTACATTGAGATCAGTTAATGGAATTCAGTAGTTCATGCGTAGGGCTTGCTGAACTTTATATTTAAAAAATAATCCTTAAACAAATATTAACTTGTATATTACTGGAAAATATCTAATTCCATAAGCATCATGAAATTGGCTGTTATGATTTTCACCAAATAACTTGAATACTCAGCAGTATCTTTCTCTGATTGTTGCTTAAAGTATAATAAACATCTTTAAAATAACCTGATGAAAATTTTCATCCCTTTACTTCAAGTCTTCTGGAAGAAACAACCAAAAAATAAAAATAAAAAAACCAAAACAGTTGGCTTGAAAAATCTATCTATAAGGAAGCAGATGCAAACATGGTTACCAGAATGAGTAGCACATAGACATGCACGATCTCTTTTCTTGCTTATGAATGCTGCCTCACCCTTGTTGTTCCCGTTTTTCAGTTTCTGGTCCCGCTACCCATCTATCTACAGCTCAAGAGAAAAATAAGTCAGATAATTTTCAAACCACATAAACTGGCATAACATTTTTTCTTTGAACTTTAGGTGGTTAAAATATCCTAATGTATTACTGTAAGAACTATATAATTAACGTTGTGGAAATAGTTCTGAAATAGATTTTAGTAAAAAGGAAAGTATGTAGAATCATAGACCATTCATTGACTTGAAACAATATTTAGAAGATTTCCTACCAGGACTTAATACTCCCTATTTGTATCTGCAGCTACGAAATGATAGTTTCCTTGTTAGGCATTGTAGCTGTCAAGGTCTTTTAACTACATACTCCTTCAGTTTCATGCCTCTATTATGAGCTCACATTTTATATCACATATGAATTATGGATTATACAGAGCAACCTTTTCAAAGTTTAAGTGAAGGAAAGAGGAAACCTTAATTTGTCAAATGGAATTTATATTTAAATTATAATGAAATCGCAATAAGGGTAAAAATGTGATAACGTTATTATACATACTTGTACCATCAAAACCTTATGCGTTTATTTGGAAGTTTCCCTACAATTTGCTCAAGCTAGATTGTATGAATAAGTGTCCCATGGTGATGAGTACTTCATTATTAACCATTTGTAAAATAAACATTTTTTAATTTTACCTCATTGAAAATTGACTACTCTCAGATTTACGAATAGAGAAGAGAAATATTACCCAATTTCTAATAAAAAAGCAAACCCCCCAAATTATGAAGTATAAGTAGCACATAATATTTGAATATTTTTTACTGCTGCTAGCTTTTTGATGATTGAGGTTAAGAGAAATTTACATAAAGTAAATTCAGTTGAATATAAAAATATGTTTTCTTTTGGCTCTGATTTAAAATTCTTTACTTCATTTACTTGTCTTAAAATTTAAATATTTGATATTTTTCCCAGAAATTATGAATAAATATGGTACAGACTACTCAAAGCATATTTTGAGAAAAGTGTGGTTACATAGTTAACCAGTTTGTCAAAACCTGTCACTTGTCAGGTGTTGCTTGCCAAAATCCCTCTGTATTTTCTTTAAAAAAAAAAAGAAAAGAAAATATTTGTTAGGGTTCTAAAAAACGAATTTGTTTCACATTAAAAAAAAAATGTGATGATTTGGTATATATTGATCCATAGGTTTATTGATACAAAGTCACATATCTGGTGTGTTTCACATTTTAGGGGTGTGTTTGTGTTTTACCTCTTGGTGTTGATTATCATGAATGTGATAAACGGGAATATAATGTATTAAACTGAACAGAAAATAAAAACAACATTTAAAAGAAAAAGTTAGCATCCAGTGCTACTGTGTCCCACAGGTTCTCCATTGACCCACACTCCCTCCACTGGTGAGTTAGAGGAGCGTGCCAGGACTACCACTGGTGCTTTTGCTGTTGCTAGCGCATCTGCAGATGCTACTGTCTCCAGTGTTACAGCTGTCACCATGCATAGACTTCCCGAAGAACAGCGAGTGCAAGTTATGAATCTCAGAAATTCAGGTCTGGACCCCAACACATCCAAGGACGGGCTCTCTCCTCATCAAGCAGATACACAAAGCACAAGCAGAAGACCAAGAAATGCTGAACAGATAGAAAGAACTAAAGAGCTTGCAGTTGTTACTCATAGAGGTATTGGATGTTATTTTACTTGTGCCCATTTAGTTACCGCCAAAGCTATGTTTTGGTAATGATTCTAAGCAGAGAGCGAGCTGCCCATAAGCCAAGATATGGAAAATGAAACACAGACTTCAAATAAAAACCTGAAAATATAGTTAGACATAGCCAAGCTTTCATAATTGGAAAGCGCTAAAATTAAGTAAAGATAAAAAGTCAAGAAGTAATACCACTGTTTGGGGAAAAATAAGCATAGACAGTAAAGAATGCATAAAAGGGATAGTAAAAGCAAATCTTACATACCTATTGCTTTTTACATATCAGATATGATGTTGAGGTAGCAGGTAAAGAAAATGGCCAGTTTCTATTAATATATACATGTTTAAACATGGACCGTTTATCTCATGTAGTAAATTTTAGTATTTGCATGAGATTTTTTTTATTAAATTCTAACCCTGAAAATGAGCAAATAGATGATATAATTGGAGAAAAACAGAAACATTATATCTGGTGATTGCTCTGTATAGCTTTTTCTTTTATTTCTAAAGTAGTTTTTGCTTGATCTATATGATTGCACTGTGAATGTTTTTCTCATTTTGAAAATTTTATGGCTATTGATTAAGATTGAATTATAAATATCCCTTAGTTTGTAATTTATCTTATAAAGAAAAAAAACATAATGAAGCAAATCATATATTGGGAATTTTCTAGTCAAATAATATAAACCTTTCTTAATTTAAACATCATAGCAAGTCTTTCTTTTTCTGTTTCATGGTGAATGCATTTCATAGAGTAGTTTAGGAAGAAAATTAATGTAGTATCAGAAATGTTTCATTTATATCAAGTTATGCATCAGTGGAAACTAATTGAACATATTAGAAGTTGAAAATATCTACTCAATGTCTAACTCATCATTGTGTAACCTATATATTTGCTGTGGTTCATGCAGTATAATTCTATATGGCTTCTACAAAGCACAATATAAGGAATTGGAAAGCATTCAATGCCTTACAATACAATAAGGAGATAAATCAGGATGTCTTTATATACATTAATTGAAAAACCAAACAAGTATTTCAGAAGCTCATTTTCATTCAAATTTATATTGAACATACATATTTCACATCTAATAAATCATTCTAAAATAAATCTTGACATGTGATAGTCTCCTTTTTAAATAATGAAATCGCCATGATTTTGCTTCTGTGTTTCCACTTTTCAAGATACAGGGATCATAACACTATTATTATGAAGTATAGAGATTCTTCTTATTTTATGAAATCAAAGGTGTAAAATATATTAAACTATCAATTAAGAAAAACCACCAATTAGTTTTTCTCAATTAAGTACCAAAGTCTCTTCCATGGTAAATTCCATTCTCTCCTTACCTAATTTAATAGTGTTCTAATGCTATTTGAGAGCCAACACATGTTTCAGCTTTCCATATCTTATATAACTTTCCTTCTGAATATGATCTATTCATTTAGTGGTGCCATCTATATCAGAAATAAATATTTTCATCATTAAAGTTTTGAACATTTGTTTGAAAATATTTTGAGTGTTATATGCAGCATTATTATCAGTAAATTAAATTTTCACTATCCTATTATGAAATGTATGTTTTAATTAAAAACAGTCCCCCTGACTATTCCTCAGTATTTTTCTATTATTTCAGTAATTTTGGTTGACCATTAGCTATTAAGTTTAAATGTAAACTATTACTATTATGTACAAAATATACTGACAATTTTAGATGTAGACAGAGCCCATTATATGATATTCATTGCTTAATGGTTTCAAAAACCCATGAGATGCAGTTAAAAGTTTTCAAACATTGAAACAATCTTCAGAGTCTTGACTCCTAATAAGGTGAGATGTCAATCTGGAATGGACTGGCATCAAAATTATATTTCTTTTGAAATAATCTTAGCTCAAGCAACAAGCCTGAAAGGCCTACTCTGAGCCAGGTTGTGTTTGAGGGTAAATTAAGACCAGAAATGCATGGCCTCTTTGTTCAAGATCTTGCAGTAGAATAGACAACAGAAAGAACACTAGCCACGAAGTACAAGGATGATTTGGTAGCATTCCAGGTTAACGAGACTGCTAAAATGTCACATGGCTAACTCAGGGCCACATGCATTTATCATTTTATTAAAAAGAGTGAGACAAAGCCCAAAGGTAATTGCTTAATTTCTCTAAATATTTCAGGAACAAAAAAATTCTTGTTTTTCTACTTTATCCTCCCACATTGGTGTCATAATTTCCCTTGAAAAATGACCTGATGAATAACTTCAGTATTTCTGTGTAACTTTTATAACTTCAGTATTGTATGTTTTATGATTTCCGAATCACCCAATAAGTAAAGTTAAGACCTGGTGATGACACATAGAAGCCTGTGTGATCTGGGTTTGCTCATATCTTCAAAATCATCTCATGCCACTGTCATGTCACCCTCTCATTAACAAGATAATTCTACTTTTAACTTGTCAAAAATGCTATCTTCTTTTCAACCTCAACCCAGTTCCATGTGCTATCTTTCTCCCCTTCACCCAGATCATGCTAATTAATTCACTGCTGTCAGCTTGTTGTCACCTCCAGAAACTTTAGATCTTCCTCTAATAATCTACCATCAAATCACATGAATCTCTTTGTAATTATGAGCCCTTTCCCTACCCACGTAGATTTTCATTTCCACGAGAAAAGAGAGTAGATGGGTTTCTTTCAGATAGCATTTCCAGTTCTGGCCTATAGAAGTATTAAGAAGATTTTGTGTGTTCATGGATAAATGTTTACAATTTCATTAGCTAGACCATTCACTTAAATTTCCCAGAGTTTCATAGTCCTTAGCATTATGAGAATTCCAAGATATTTCAAGATTAAAGGTCATTTTGTTATGGTTTTAAACATACCCATGTTCATCAATGCTAGTAATAGATGAACCACTTTTAAAGAAACTAGTTTTATAATTTCACATTAATTTATTGCTATTATTATATTGTTATTCAAAAACATAATATAAAAGTGGATTATAAATATCTTGTTTATAATATTATTTTTAAAATAGCAACAAACCAAACCCATTCCCACCAAGTTGATGCTGATTCACAGCAACCCTATAGGACAAAGAAACACTGAGCCACAGGTTTGTCAGCCCTTCAGCTTTTGGGAAGTGGACGGTCCCATGTTTTCCCTTTGCGGGACTTTCTGTTTAAAATGATAAACCTTTGAGTAGCTGCTCAGTTCCTAACCCCTGTACAACCAAGGCTCTTGGTATGATCTGTGCATTTCCATACACTAATACTATTTAACAAATAAATATGTGAAACTATAAAATAAATAGACTTTCTATAAACACATTAAATGTTATACAGTGGTGTCTTCTTGATTCATTTACTACTGGATTTTGAAAAAAAATTGATCATGGTTTATGTATCACAGCTTCTTGTGATGTTGTGAAATCTCTGCTGTCTTGAAGGAAAGCTTGGGACATAGGGGCTTATGGGCTGGGCTGCTAACACAAGATTAGCAGTTCAAAAACACTAGCTTCTCTGTAGCAGAACCAGGAGGCCTTCTGTTACAGCCACAGAAACCTAGCAGGGCAATTCTGTTCTGTCCCATAGGGTCACTATTACTCAGGATTAACTTTATGGTAGTGCAAGTCGTGTGCAGTTTTGTGCCATCTGATGATTACTCAGATCACTACTCTATTTAGACTTAAATTAAACTTTAATTTTGAAGTATTATGTGATTGGTGTTAACTTTTCCAGAAATGAAAATTGAGTACTTTATAATTGATGACAATATTATTAGGAACACATAGCACAGGTACACTGGATTTACACACAGAATTTGGTACTCTGTATTTTTCATGATAAATTAAGTATATCATTTTGACTCTGTCATTATAATAGTTATATAATCTGTTACTAATTTGAAAAACCCTAAGATATTTATGAAATATTTTTTGATTCTCTAATGGGTACTAATTCTAAGAATTTTATAATTTATTATAGTTCAAATAGAATTTAATATAATTTGAATAGACTTCCTGGAAAAAGGATTTTTTAACATCCTTCTCAGGTACAGTAAAAAAAAACACCTCTGATTTTATCCAATTAAAGAAGAAACCTTAACTATTGAGATTAAAATAAGTAGAAAATATTAATAATGATAGTTCAGATCTTCTGTGTATGGATGTCACAAACAGTACACTAAGTAGTGTCTGGTCATCCTCAGAATATGAATTTCAATACCTTTGACTCAGTTTTAGCATACTTTATGATCTGTTAAGTGTAAGATCTTGTGCAAGGTTAATTAGAACAATTAGAGTTCAATTTGCATGCTTTTAAAATACTTAAATAGTACCAGAGTGTTACAATTAGGTTATTCTCAGGATTGATCATGATATTGGATAGAAGAGCAAGAAATATTTGGTGTGTATCTCAATAAAATCAAAGAAAAAGCCAAGTTACTTTCATATCAATGTTTAGCATTGGGTAAGATGCCTAGACTGAGTCTACATTGTGGTTTAGTAAATATACACGTATCAAGGAAGGACTTCAAGCTGCAGAGCTGGAAGTTTCAGTTACTGAGAATTCTTGACTCATGCAGTAGTTGAATATTATAGCTATAGATTTATACTTTTGTTCACCACATACATTTTAACTTTATGAGAATGATATTACATTAGTGTTAGGACTGTAAAAATTAAGGCAGACTATGGTGTTTTTGTGTCATGCCTAATAAAATTGAAAAAATATTTGTTATAGTAATTACCTATAAGTAGCATTACCATTACAGTTTTCCAAATTTTAGTAAGGTGTGAGGGTAAAACTGACTGTTTACAAATAGTATCTTTTTTAAGTCTCAGAAAGTGGTACAAAATATATATGAACTTAAGGATGAATGAAAGCTCAAAAGTATTAAATTAAATTGATACAACTAGGACTCATAAAAATGTATTTGAGTAATAGTTATTTTAAATAGAAATATAATAAGTCTATAAGCAACCAAGC